ACATATACTATCTAATGAAGGTGTATAAGCTTGAGAAGTCTAGATGACGACTTATCGAAGTATCACGTATTAGAAATCTGCACTTTAGTAAGGAAGTTAAAAAGTATTGATTTCTAGAGGTCCAGTTGATTTATGGGTACATGTCAAAACTAGTGGGAGCATAATTGTTATGTTAAGTGTTGCAAGTTGGCAATACTATTTGTAGGAAACAAAGTCTACAAATTTGCAAGTTGCAAAGTTTGGAAACTGTTTCACTATAGTAAAGGCTCAAGGGAAAGGGCATTCATACTTCGTTTCATATCTAAAAGTTTAGATTGAAGGTTTTTTTTAATAGAACTTAGTCTTGGACATATATGAATATCATGTTGAAATGATTCAACAGAGGAAATTCGATATATGGAAATTTTGTAGCAAGAGACTGAACAGATATTAGGGCTTTGTGTAATACATTATGAATCAAGTCCCATATGTTTCGGATATAATACTGATTACATATGCTATAATATTCACTTGTTCTGATTTTCCAAATGCTTTGGGCATTGAGAGGGAAAGGGGACTAGAACCTTGTTGAACAACTGTCAAGAATATTCTGAGGTTATACCAAGGGATTGGTTTATTGTGGATAGTTGGAAGTACAATATTATATTAGACGGGCCATATTGACATAATTCTGGGTGGAGGTGTTTCTTATCCAGAATATATGGCCATATGGGAATATGGAAATGTTTCCATAAGTAGGAGTTGATTATTATAATCTACATGTGAGTTAGAAACTTAATACAAGGAAGATGTTCAAGGAGTGTATCTTGAATTTGAGACTTCATTTCCATATAATTGTTTTAAGTAACGAAGTTTCAATGGAACATTTTGTAATATCGTTGGCAAAGTCTCTATGACTTTGAAGCCTTGACATAACAAAAAGTATATTGCATGTAAGGTTGAACTCTAACACATTCTATTAGTAACAAGTATTTGAAATTGTGAAATGAGTATCATTGGAATAGTGTCCAATCGATTTATTCACAAAGGAAGGACCATAGAGAGACATAGTATGCATGTTTATACATGGCATTACTAATGTTTAATTCAAGTGTTTAGTTGATTACTCAAAACATTATACAATGAATAAAGTCTAATTAATATGGTGATTAAATAATAAGAGTTTTATTTATATTCAATAGTTTTGAGACCATGGTTAATTAGGTTATTAGTGTGTTTCACTTTGCATGTTTTGCTTCTCGAATAATTGGATTATTCAAACATCCACAGTCGCTCGTACTTTTGGAAGTAAGTAGCGAATTAAGACTGTCATGAATTGAATTGTAGATTGTCTATGGAGATTAGACATAACAATGTTTTTGCTGCAATGTTCATGAGTACTTGGAAATGGGAATTATGAGTATTGGATAAACCCACGCTCAGAGAATTACTTCATGCATTTTATCACGGGTAATTTTGAGACGATAATATCTTATATTCTTGAAACGGAGATATATGAGTTGTTGTTTACGAGTTGGTTGTGCATTGATAATATGTAAACACATCAGTAACTTGATGTTATAAAACGTATTGTTGTGTGTGATTTGATGAGTAAATAGTACAAGCATATAAGTCGAAGTTTATCCGTTCCTTTTGCCCTAACGGGAAAAGCGATATTTGTGGGCCCCTCGATGATTTGATGTCGACATCTAAAGCGCTTATCCAAGCCTGGACTGAATTGATGTGTTCACTTAGTAGTCTGATTTCAGTCGTCATGAATCAGAAATAGGGAAACAAATCTTGGACAAAGAGATTGATTATGATCCATGCCTCATGTCCATACGATATCTTGTAGAACAGAGGAATATTTGATCACTTATCTTAGGACTCATATCTGACTAGGTCAGAGTTCGACAGCGGCTTTGAGAGCTACAATTTGCTAATCAATTTTTGAAGTTATACTAGCAACTATAGTTATTAGACTTATCCAAGTGGGAGACTGTTGGATTAGGTGTCTAAGCGCATAAATATAATTGATATATATTTGAATTGATAGTAGCACAATCCTTTTGGGTTGCCTTCATACTAGTAACTAGACAGAGTGACCTATTGAGGAAGAGGAAGAATTTATTATTTGATTAATAAATTGAAATGAATGATTTATTAAATGCATTATAGAAATAATATATTAATTAGAAATCATATTATTTAATTAATAGTTAATCAGAAATTAACTAGAATTAATTTTGGGATTAATTGAATTAATTAAAAATGTAGGGGTTGTTTGGCAATTTATTGATACTTGAGGAAAGAAGCTCTAGAACCCACCTAAAGATGCTTGGACGAAATCGTCTAGTAAAGCCCCAGAATTTTCGTCCAAGGGCTTATGGATGGAAGGTTTAGAGTTTGCTTGGTCCTTAAGCAAAGCAATTAGGGTTTCCTACTTGTAACCCTAGCTTTGGCTCTAAGTCACCTCACTATATAAAGACCCATACCCTTGTTAATTTTCGGCCACTAGAAAGTCTAGAGAGTTATAGCCGAAATTTGAAGCTTCATTCACCCTCTCATATCTCATCCTCTTGCTAAGTGTGTTTGTGATTCATTAGAGGTGTTACACTGGTGACACTTGCTCTCAAGCTTCATGATCTTCAAGATTATTGGATTGTTATTACTACATAATAATCAAAGGTATGTATCATAACTCTTTATTATGTGAATTTCGATTATTTATCATAGATCTAGGGTTTACATGATGTTGTTCATATTGTATGTTCAATTAAAGAATACATAGATCTTATTAGGGGTTGCATGCCCACATAAGATTGTTTGTTATGCTCAAAACCCATCAAAAATGGCCTTTTACCCCGAATAAGAGAGGGAATATGAGCTAAGACCCTTGCGTGTGAATTAATTTCTTTGATTTATAATTATGGTCTTGTGGTGTAGTGTTCAGTTTGGGGAGTTCCAGTTTAGGCAGCTCGAGAGCAAGATTCGTTTGTCCACAGTTGAGTTGAGTCTTCTCACTATACTGTGTAGGATGCTAGCTCTCTTTATAATGCTTGCATTTTGTGTTGGGTTGGGCCAATTGGCATGCTTATTGGGTTGGTCCCATTAGTATGCATGTTGGGCGAGACCCATTTGTATGTTGGGTTGGGCCCATTTGTATTCTGGGTTGGGCCCATTGATATGTGGAGCTGGTCTTGTTATGATGGGTTGGGCCCAATGTGCGAGTTGGGCCCATTGATATGTATGGTATTTGGTATTTGGGGAACTCGCTAAACTTTGTGCTTACGGTTTGTGGTTTAGCATTTTTCAGGTACTTTCAGTTCCAAAGGGAAGGACCCCGCATGATCGCACTGCATAACCTAGAGTTTATTTTGCATTGGCTATTTGTGATTTTTACGTTGATTTTTTGAGAATATTATTACTTTGATTTTCTTTTGGAACAAATGAATGAATGGTTTGATTGATTAAAAATGAAATTTTTACTTGGTATTTTTGGGACGTTACAAAGTTACTATTGTATCCTCGTTGTCACGAAAAAGCCTCTCGATGTTGAGTTATACTTGACGAGCGTTTGTATCTCTCTTTAGGGTCATGTTCAACACGTTTTGAGAAAAAGTGGAATAAATCCATCTTTTCACCACTACATCTCGGTTGAGTGGTTGGATCATCGTACGTTGCATCAATATGGTTGATAGCATTGTATGTCTCACAATGAGTGGTAAATAGCTCCCGCTAAGAATCATAGTTCAGCCTTTCGATGTCAGGGAGAAGGGGAAAGAGAAGGGGAACGTGACTCTTAATGTTGGCAACACAAAAAATTTGTGTGGGGGTGGGATAACTTCTGGCATGGTGAATATGAGAGAGAAAAGAAGAAACAAAAATTAAGGTTTGAATGGAGATGAAAGACAGTGGTCGATTGTGACAGGGAAAGAAAGAAAAAGTGGAGTGATTTTAAGAAGACAGCGATACCATGATATTGATTAGAATCAATGTATTCTCATTACCCAAAATACAATACAAGAAGGCAATATATACACCAATACAAGGCCATAGGGCCGACTATACAAGTCTAAGCTATGGGCTCCATAAATGAGCTAGCAAATATACATACATTCTAACAATGCATGCATTTAATAACAATCGGTTGGTAAAAATTTGTATTATTGTTGAATTGGGATTAGCTACTGTGATGTATAGAATATAACATTAAAATTTTTTATAAAAAAATACCTTCTTGGAAGGGGTAAAATTTTGAGGTGCCACATAACCCGATGTTAGTAACCACTCCTAGCCAGTGGCATCCTGAAAGCAACATTGAGCATCCAGTATCCTAGTTTTAGGGCATCATGGCTACGTTGGGAGAGTATAGGAAAGCCCATCATTATGTGTCTATAAACCGGTTAAGGACAATGTAACCACATCGAAGGAACATTGAGTCTCACAGGTCGTAGCAAAATATATCGAAGACGTGTGGAAATGAAATTCATTTTAGATAGGGATTGACACACAAACTTATAACGGAATGAATTAGGTATATTTATGTGATAATGTGGATGCAAATCTTGAAGTCAAAACTAACACGTAATGGGTTGGTCCATTTAGGTGGTTGTCAAATGAATTTAAGATATATAGATCGTGGATATTAGTCTATTAACTATAATAAGTGACCTGATAAAACTATTTAATTGTTTATTAAATATTTTGAAAAATGACACTTAACAAAATTTCACAGATTAAATCGTGAAAAACACATTTTAAAAATATAAAAATAAACGTCGCCTGAGAGATTCGAACTCTCGCGGGGAAACCCCATGTACTTAGCAGGCACACGCCTTAACCACTCGGCCAAAGCGACTTTTGTATATTTAAGTTAAATATTATTATATAATTAAATTATAAAACCTAAAGACACTGACCTAACCAACTAACGCTGACCCCACCTTTCACTCTCCTCCATACAAAAATATCCGACCCCTCTCTATCGATACCTCGCAAAGCGACGCCTCCTATAAAGAATGTCTTCAACCACCACCACCACCACCGTCGCCGCCACCATGGACCGCCGTACCTACTGGTGTCATGAATGTGACATGAGCATCTCTCTCATCCCCTCCTCCACCAGCACCACCGCCAACCTCCTCTGCCCTCACTGCAACTCCGACTTTCTTGAAGAGCTGGACTCCCCTATTACTTTCAATAACGCCACTAATCCCAACTCCGATAACCATGACGATTCCAATCAATTGTTATTCCCTTCGTTTCTTGATCCGTCCTCTCCGGCGGCGGAGTACGCTAATTCTTTCCAGTTCTCGTCTGTTGCCCCTTCCGACGATAATTTTCTCCTCGACAGCCCTTACTTTCACCGTGTCATTAATCACCTGTTTAACTCCGAGGACTCCAATCCTTCCACCACCGCTACCACCTCCCGCCATCACTCCCCTGCGTCGAAATCCGCCGTTGAAGCTATTCCTTCGGTTAAGATCACAGCTGCATTCCTTGAAATCGATCCGGTTGTTATCTGTGCCGTTTGTAAGGATCAGTTCGTAGTTTATGACGAGACGAAAGAGCTGCCTTGTAAGCATATGTACCATCCGCACTGCATACTTCCATGGCTTTCACAGCATAATTCATGTCCTGTTTGTCGGTTCCAGCTGCCTACGGATGCGGTTGATGGAGATTCGAAAGTGAGGAGGAGGTCGAGGTCTAGGGTTTTGAGGTTGGGGGATTTAATCGACGATGACGACGACGAAGAACTGTTAGGGTTTGGATTGAGGCACCTTGCTCGTAGGCACCGGCTGGTATTTCCAGTGAGACACCATCATTTCCGGCAACCGCAGATGGAGGAGGTGCAGCCCGAGGATTTCTTTTCTTCGACTCAAATTGCGGAGGAGGTGGAGGTGGATGCGCCGGCTGATTCAGGGCGGACCAATAGCTTAGAGACTGTGTCCAGTTGGCCAAACTGGGCTGTTGATGGCGGAGCTGTTGATGGGGATGAAATTACAGTGAATACTGCCAGACTCGATGATGATGCTGATGTGATGATGTCTTGAACATTGCATATAGAAGCTTCGTGTGAGTAAATTTGAAGGTATGTTTTGCTTAATTCCACTTGCAAGATTCATTGATTTCTTTGCTTCTTTGGCCTTTTGTTTCTGCATATCTATTACAAGATTGCCTACATTTCAATTGAATCCTAAAAAGATTATTAGTTCATGTATTCAAGGTTATATGTCTTGTTGCTTTCTTGTAAATGCTTCGTATCTTTTACCCTTTTATGGTGTTGTTTTGGGGAGTGTTTGAGGGCTATTTATGGCTACATACACCATGTCTTAATATGTTAAGTGAAAGAAATAGACACTTTTACATATTTGCCCTTCCTATTCTCACCTTTGTTGGCCTTCATAATTATTTTTTTTCCCCAATTTAACAAGTAAACCCTTCATTGCAGATGATGTATAGTGGTTCTTATACAGGGGTCCAAGGCACTTCAACAGCATGAAAATTTAACCAAGTGTAGATTTGCTGTGGATGGATGCCTTTCTTTAATGTTACTTTATAGTAAACATTTTTGCCTTTGGATTCTGTAATAAAAGATTAAAGGGCCCTTAATAGATCAACTCTTTCTTTCTCTCTTTCTTTTTGTCCTTTTTTTTCTCATTTTTATTATAAAATTGGAAATATTGTGCCTCTTTTTCTACTTTTGTGGGATCTTGATGCATTTGCATATATGATACCATCCATAATTGATAATTGAGACTCAAAAAAGTCCGCTAACCCTTTAAATCATGTTATGTGAGTTTGTTTTGGAAGGAAATTAAGGAGAACGCGTTATTATTTTATTGGTTTATTTGAGTTGGAAAAAATTATAATTTTTCATGATCATGAGTTAGAGCGAAAGGATATACACACTGATAGTAATACAAACGTACCTTTGTTAAATATTTAAGGATTAATAACTAGTATCGTAGTCCGCAATTTGTAGCGGGTTGTTACGTGGAATTGATTAAGGCAATATCAAAGCTTCTTGTATTGTTGTACATAATGGATAATTCATTACATATTTACAAATGAGAGAGTAGCTTATATAACACTAAGGGGCTGTTTGATAGTTGTTGACTGGGTTAGAGCTGACTGAGTTAGAAGCTGACTGGGTTAGAAATTCTGACTGAGTCTACATCTGACTGAGTTTATGCTGATTGATTATTTCTCTGACTGACTATACTGAATAATGAAAAATGATCATATTACCCTTATGTTGTCTCTTGTTCTCAATAAAATATTTATAAAATTACAATTGCTTCATTGTTCTTAATAGAAACTCATAAGTCAACCAACTGCAAAGGCTTATTAGCTCCAACCACAGAGATTACAAAATAATTATAAAATTCTAATAGATCTCTTGGCAAAATCGTTTCAAAATCATTCCACAAAACAAAACAAAAGATGAAATTACAAAATGATTTTGTTTCACTGTATTCAAGAACTTACATAGAAGATGATATTAAAAACACCATTGACAAGAATTGTATGTTTGTATTTTTTTTTCTTTTGGTATCAATAATGATGAATCTACAACACTTGGTTTCACTACAAGGGAATTATGAATAGAACTAACAAAAAGAAAAGAAAAAGCAAAACCAGAAAACACGCCTACATGTTCTCTTGATCCAACGGAAGACATTGATCTAACACCAAATGGAGAATATACAACACCACCACCAATATAAACCTTTTTAAGTGTCTATGATACATCCTTTTGGCAAATTTGTCAATGATCGATTCTTTGATCTCATCATCGTTTCATCACTAATAAAGTTGGACCTGTGAAGCAAAAAAAAAAATGGATTACAAAGTCACATAATTTTCTTCATATCAACATTGCTCGATAACACCCACTGTATGTCTATAAGAAAGGACAGTCAATTGGTAAGATTAACCAACAGGAAGTAGACAATTTCATTTTCCAATATGATACCTCAAATTCTTAGTAGATACCCACTCTCAAAAGCTTAAAAAAATAAACGCAAACAAAGCCCATGTATTTGGTTAGAATCTGCAACTTCAAGAAAAATAAAACGAGCCAACTTTGAGATTAAGAACAAAAAAGGGTTAATTACGAGTGATTTAAATCGTTTTAGCAAGTGGGTATCAACGGGAAACAGGTAATTGATCGACTACAACATGTAATTCACATAAAATTAACCGACATCTCCATCCCCTGTTATTCGATTTTGACCTGCAATCAGATTCAAGACGTGTGTGAAGATTGCGATCATTCAGAACGGGGTTAGGGTGAGAGTACAGAAACCTAAAAACATGTATATATTTTAGAAAAAGGGTAATACATGCAACTTGATTAACAGAAAAAGAGGTGAAATCTCGTTTTCTTCTTGGTGTCATGGGAGGGAGAGCAATAGAGAGATACGACAGCTACAATCGATCATGAGAGAAGGGATTGGGAGTTCGGTGGTAAAGGAGGTGGTCGGTGCTAGAGAGGACGGTGGTGGAGAAGGTGCTCGACAAGGCTGAAGAGCATTAAAGACTCGATGGAGAGGACAGTGTGAAGTTCATTCAAGGAGAAGAACAAGGGTAACCGGGGAAAGGAAGTTCACTTTCTTGGTCGGCAGCTAATTTTTTGAGGACCGATTCAAGATGTTGGTCAGCAATAGCTAACTGAGTCAGCCAACTTTAAACCCCATCAAACACTTTGACTGCTGACTCGATCAGCAGTCAGCTCTGACCGGACTGAGTAAGTGCAAAACAAACAACCCCTAAATGTTTTGGGGCAAAAGTGGATAGTTAGTCCATTATATACTTACTACATTGCTTTCATTCTCATTAACAAAAAAACTATCTTTATAGTTGTTTTTGGTCTATCTGCAGTAAGTTTTAATATTTAAGTTCAGATTAACCATGTACAATTGTTTGATTTGGAGGAGAAGCTTACAAAATAGTGGTTTTGGTGAAGCTGTGATTTTTTAATAATCAATAACTTCATATGAGCTTCAAGGAAATGTCATTTTTGACGTATTATCATATACTGTCATTTCAACAAAGAAGTGTTATAACTTCATTTGACTGCGAATTTAGACGCTTTGATTATTAATTCAAACATTTTGACTACTAAATCGATATATTTATTATGAATTGTCATTTGAACAGGAAATTGTTAAATTCTATATATCAGTTTTAATTTTTTTTGTATGTATTGATAAACACAATAACATTATTAGAAATACTATAACGCCGCGTTTCTGGTTTTAATATTTAAAAAATATATATATAATAAATAAATAAAAAGAAGGAATGTTATTTAGTTGGCAAAAATGTCATAGGACGACCAAAGGGGATACAAGTAATTAAATCCAAGATTCTTTTACCAAAAATGACAGTGATTTATCAATTATGAGATTTGAGTCACTATAGAGAACGTATGGGAGTGTATTGTGTATATGAGAAAAGTTGTATATAAGTCTTCTGGGTCTTAATAGGCTGCATTTTTAGGGTCTAATGGGAACCTAGGATCGGCCCCTATGCACTTGCTCCCCTATAAAAGAAAAACCCTAATACCCCCCTTGGTGCTTGGGTGTATGCAACACAAAAGGGGGGGGGGGGGAGAGAGAGAGAGAGAGAGAGAGAGAGAGAGAGAGAGAGAGAGAGAGAAAGAGAGAGAGATGGGTGGTCGACCAAAGAGGAAGAGAAGAATGGAGTGTTTCAACCTCCTTTGTTAGACCCTATGTAATACACTTCCTCTTACTAAAAAAACTCTCACCAAACCACTGTCATCTTCATACCTCCATCTCATGTTCATATGGATATCACTAATCACTAAACAAAGGAATATTTAATCACTTACTAAGGATTGCTCATACCTCTATGATATGAGTATAATTGTAAGCTTTGATGATGTACACCTTACTAGGTTAAGGAATGTTGGATTATATCGTTGTTATAACATGTGCAAGTGGTAGACTGTTGGAAATACGCCTATTTTCATAACAATTTGTCATTTTCCATATTTAGCAGTGTCCTTTGAGGTTACACACAAGACATGATTTGAGCATAACATGACAAAAGAAATTGTAGAGGGACTAGCTTATTAACATGTCACCTTATGATGGGTTAATTAGAAACTATAGAAGAATTGAGAGTATTAAGTGTAATTACTCTTAATTCAAATCGATTATATTTATCCCTTTATTTAAGAGATTTGTGTACCAATTAATAAGGATAATTTTTTGGCTTTTGATATGACAAATTGACCTTCTTCTCCCCTCCCACTCGACTCTTATACTACCAGCCTCACATACCCTCTTGTTAGAGTTCGATTTTGGCAAAGTTACAAAACAAGATATTGTTGTTTTGGTGCAAGATCATTGTTTTTGGGTGCGATCACATTCAAGGAGTTCTCATTTCGGCTCTAAATCATCCAAGACAGAGAATAAATTAGTTGGTTTGCTACATGCGGAAATATAATGCAAGAAAATAGTAAGAAAATGCCATATGTATTCGCGGAAATATCTTATGTTTAACTATCCTTTATTGAACCATATCATTGTCTAAAAGTGTATGTTTTTATGTTAGTGTTCAAGATGTAACATTCGGATCCCAAGGTATGAAATTTTAAATTATGTATGAAAATTTGGTTGGCTACAACATGGTTTTAGCACCACCACGATGTGGTAATTTGATTTATGATAGCGTGTTTTAACTGGGTTACAATTGTTGACCCTAACTACACCAAATAATAGTCAAATATTTATTCCTTAACTACATCAAATAGCTTACAATTGTTGACCCTAACTATTACATCATCTTATTAATGTTTAGCGAGAAATGTGGATGTTACACCACTAGATTGTGTTATGTAGAATGCTAGCTGTCTTTGTGACACTTGTATGTATGTTTGGGTTGAAACACACCCCATGGTTGGTCCCATTATTGTAACGCATGGTTCCTAGTATGTATTTTAACTCCTTAATTGTTCAATTTTATAGAGCTACTCGACGAGTTGGTAGCCCCAACCCGTCGTGTAGAAATGTCTGGACCACGTGTTTTAAGTGGCCAACTCGGCGAGTTGGGAGGCATCAACTCGAAGAGTTGCCTGGAAGAAATGAAACCCTAATTTTGGGGTTTTGCACCCTATTTAAACAACTTAAGCTCCATAAGTTGGCCTCATTCCCAGCCTCAATTGTCCTAAACCCTAAAGCATCTTTGAGTGATTATGAGCCATTCTTGAGTGTGTTGTGTGTGTTTGAAGCCATTGGAAGAAAGGGGAGCTTGGAGATACACGAAGGAGCTGCTAGATCCAGAATCCTTGCTTTATTTTCGACATCTTTCTTGTAAGAAGTCTCAACCTTGCTTTGTGGTTGCTTAGATCTTCATCTTAGTGTTTTTGGCTTGTTTTTGCCCAAGTGAAGTGGTCTTTGGGAGTTGGACGTCCCATATAGACAAACCCTTTCAGATCCAGGGTCTCAAGGAGCTTTCATGGCATAAAGGTGCCAACTTTATGGCCCTAAGAACTCCATGCATCTTCCAAGCCCTTGTTTTGGCCTTTTAAACTTCATTTGGCCATGCATGTGAGTAAAGTTGAAGACTTTACGTGACCTTTTAGCCTTTAAGGTCCAAATCTATGTTCATGAGCTCTATCTTGAAGATATGATGGTCTTTG